CCTTTTGAGGCAGGGAGGTTTGAGACTGACTGAAGAATGAGGAGAGAGCAGAAGGGCTCAGAATTGAAGACACTGCTGACTAGGGATGCACAGCAGGGTCGGGTTGGGCTTGAAGTCTTGAATTTGTAGTGCACCAGCCTCAGAGCTTTTGTGATTTTCTCCTGAGAATCAGCAGCTGCATGCATGAACAGACACATAGTTGGATCCATTGGGTTAAGGCCTTGCTAAGCAAGTGCAACTGGAGAGTGGTCCTTGGGAATTTGAACCCCAGAGATTGTAAATTATCCAAGAAATTTAACAAGTGACTGATGTCTGTGTCTCATCTTCAGGAATTCTGACTGACTTACTTGATTTGGATTGTGGCCTGGACTTTGAAATTTTATAAACTGTCGGAGTGATTCTTAAGCGCAGTCAGGGATGAGAGTTTTAATTCTCTTAATTTCCTACGCCTAAAGCAAGTTTGAAATCTGTATCAGCCAGGCTAGTCAATTTTATAGAACAATAACAAACTGCAGACATCAGTGTTCTAATGCAAGGAAAGCTTATTTTCTGTTGCTATAAAGTCTGCTGCAAATCTAGGGGACTCTTAATTGTCAGCTCTTCTCCTTGAATATCTTGGCATTTCTTAGTCACCGAGGCAGAGGAAGAGGCATATGGGAAATTGAGTTCTGGCTTTTGCATGCTTTCACCTAGAAATAACCCCCAGCACCTCCACCTTTATATCATTGATCTGTGCCAGTAGCAGGGACACCTCTAATTTCAAGAGATGGAAAAGGCAACTGGATATTGGTGAACATTAGAGTGACCACCATCCAAATCAAAGTCTACTGAAAATTAGAAAGTGATTTTTGTTTTATATTGCATATATTACACAGTAGATGTTATTTTAATGATTCCCAAATAGAAACTCATTCACAACAGCTTTGTTAAATAGGTACTTTTTAATGCCTCTTTTTTGGAAGGTGACATTGAAGTTAAATATCTTTCCCTAACAGACATGAGACTGAATTCCAGGCGGTCTGGGTCCACAGTCCAAGTAGGGAGTCTCATAGTGTCCTGCCTCTGTTTTGATTTCTCTCAACTTAGCCCCCAGGAGGCACTGGGGCAGGAGGGAGGTAAAGCACCAGTCTGGGACTTGTGCATGCAAAGGGTGACGTACTGCTTGCATATTTTACTGCTGGTGTTCTAGGGAGAGGCAGAGTGGGTTTGGGGAGGAGGAAATGGAATGGATGGATGCAGCTACTGAGTGAACCGAGCTGGAGACCAGCTGAGAGGCCGACTTGTGGCCCTAGCTTTTTCCTTTCCTCTATTCTCTGTCAGAGTCACTTGTTCAGTATTTGTTGATTGCAACTTGGATCTGTATTAGATTAGCACAAAAACTGAGGCCAGAGAGGGGAGAAAAAGCAATCCCATTGGGAGTCATTGTCGGGTCACTTATACTTAAGGGACCAATTTATCCAGGTACGTTTCTGGAAACTGATACAGAATTACAGCTACTATTAAATAAGCTATACTTTGAATTCTCAAAGGAAGAATATTTAATGAAAGAATCCTTTGGGGAATGAGTAGTAATTACAAATCACTCGTGAATAAATCATTTTTCTGAGGCTCCCCTTTTCCTGAGGCTCCCGTTAGGCTGGGAGACACTTTCTGGGCCCCTGCTTTTATTCTGCCCATGTTTGGAGTCACTGACCACTTCTAGGTATTGGAACTCTTGGTTTTCCCAGACAGCGCCTCTCTAATTCCCGTATCTCATAACATGGAAGAGAAGGACAAATGATTCTATCGGAAAATGGAGTTTTTGTAATAAAATAGTCAACAAAACAAAGCCCTTCATGTGACATTGAAGCTTTTTCCATTGCTGTCCTGCTCACCTGTTAAATCCTGTGGTTTGCTCACAACATATGGACTGTGTCTACAAAACACTCTGAAATGCTGTATTGGCAACTTCGCAGCGATCTGCCAACTCCTCCCCAGGACCGGTGTCCTATAGTCCTGCTGGTGTTCTATTTTCCTTAACACTGTTTTGATTGGGAGCTGTTGTGAGTTTTTGCCCTGGGTTCCTCTTCTCTTTCTGTCAGACTAACCCAAGATCAGGCTATTTCCTCTTATTTAGCAGGAGCTCTGGCAACAGGGTCTGGAGCCCCATTCTGGTCTCAATGCATAGCGCTCTAAAGCGGTGTCTCATCTTAGATAAGGCACTTGCTGTTTCTAGGTCTCAGTTTGTTCCTTTATAAAAATGAAAATTTAAACTAGAAGATTAAGAAAAGTGATGTAGCACTGCACAGCTACACATTATTTTTTATAATTATTGAAATAATCCAGAAGTTCTAATAGTGTGCAGCTATTAAAAACAAAGAGGAAACAGTGTCCTTTTAATTAAGTCTAAAGACAGAAGTAAATGGGGACGTTCTACCAGTAATTGTGTGACTGTGTCTTAATGGATGCTGAGTTTCCTCTTTGGGAAGTGTGAGCTAATACACCCACAGAGGAATGATCAGGAACAGGATATTTATACTAGATGGGAAATGCAGGGAAGCTGAGATGTTAAATCAATGCCCAGAGGTGAGATGTGGTTCAGCTGATGATGTGCAAAAGAACATATGGATTTAAAACAATCCCTGATAATGATGATGTTAGAATTGCCATATATGCTAGAAGTCTAAAATAGTAGTCTATGAAAAAATATATAATAAGCTTGCCTATTTGTTCTCTGTCCCAGTCAATGAATGGAGGATTAGTCTACGATCTTTGGAACACAAGTCACTGAGACTCACCAGAGGGGAGAAATTCAATTGTGTGTTTGAGGCTGGCACTGTGGTGTAGGTTTTGTGTTCACTTCCCAGGGACACACACCCTACCTAGCTTCAGGAGGAAGCCCTAACCTCTGAGGAGCATCCCTATTTCTGCCCTTGGCAAAGTAACCACACACACCTCATTGTGCAAGAATCTCTCCTTGTTTGACTGAAGACACCCCAAAGTATTTACAGAACATTCTAGTTACAGGGAGACAAGTTTACTTTAACAGCAGTCTCTTGATTCTTTTATTTTTTTCTCCCAGAAACCATGTTAATACATCAAGCCTCTTTTTTGTTTTGTTTCTTGTTGTCTGTCAATCTATTGGGTTGCTCGGCTGCCCAAGTCCTGGGTGGGCTGGTGGAAATTTCAGAGAGGGTAAAAAAATAACCCTGGGTTAAACTTGGGTCCTGGGACATTTAATTCTCTGGCCCTTACCTATGATACTAGGGATCTCACAGGGAGACCAGAGAAGAGAGAGCAGAGTGAGAAGATAGGGAGGAAAAGAGGGAGGGAAAGATCCTATATGAAGGGCTGTGAGAGAAAAAAGGAGGGGGAGGGGAGGGGTGCACATTACAAAATCAGACTCTGCCGTAGGGCAGGTCTCTCTGCTTCTAGGAAGCCTTGGTTATTTCAGAAGCAGTTAGTCTCACCGCTGGCCTGTTCTGACCCCAGCCAAGAGGCTGGTTCCACACAACTGAACTTTCCTCGCCGCCGCTCAAGACTTCGCCCGCCACCCAGCGCTGACCCTGCCGCAGTGCACTTTTCATCTCCATTCGGTCTCAGCTCCTTAAGACCAGCGGTCCCCACCAGGCCTGGGTGGAGCCACTGGAGGACCGCCTCAGTGCTTCTCCAACTTTAGCGGAACTGCTACAACAGAGTCTAGACTGCGTCCCAGAGTTCTGGGTTCTCTAGTTCCGGGGTGGGAGAGACCCCCGATTTGCAATTTTAACAAGTTCTTCGGTGGTGCCGATCAACCACTTCAGTTCGGGTCCACTTTGAGAATCCGGTTTCGGCTTCCTTTATTCAATTGTAAAACTTCTTGATCCATTTGCACTTAAGCCTTTTTCTCTCTCTGTGGCAGTCCAGGGACTGTTGACTGCTTCGATCAGTGCCACTCGTGTCCCGGGTTGTGAAGGCCTCGACGGTGCTTCGAGGCCACTTCCGCCCGGTGCCAGCCCTGCAGGGCTTCGCCCTCGCCGCCTTCGCGGCTGTCCACGCCGGCTCCGCCCGCCGCCGCGCTCTCCCGCTCGCCAGCGTGCACAGCACCCCCCCCCGGGGGGGGGGGTCCAGCGGAAGCTTTGCAGTAACTTTGCATCCCAGGCCTGGCCCTCTGGGAGCTCTGGGGCGGTCGCACGCGCCCCAGCCCGGCTCGCGGCTAGGCGTGCGCAGCTCTGCGCTCTGGCCCCGCGCGCTCGGGCTCCGGGGTGCGGGGCGGCTGGCGCTGCCGCGAGCTCCCGCGCGCCGGCTTCGGGCGCCCGAGCCCGGAGGGGGGCGTAGCAGCGTCAGGTGGCTGCGCTACGTCCCCGCGCGCCGCCTTGCCAGTCCCGACTCGGTGCTCAGCCTGCGCGGCCGCGCGAGTGGCATCTGCGGGAGCTGGGCATCCTGGGGGCGAGGCTGCGAGGTGACCCCTCCGGTCGCCCTTTCCTCTCCGTGCCCGCCTCGCCCTCCTTTGGACTGAGAGCGCGCGCCCTTATCTCGGGGGACCTGGGAGAGGCCGCCGCCACCCGACGCGCAGCTGCACAGAAGTTGGCTGCGCCGAGCAGCTGGGATCCAGCTGCGCGACACGGGTGGGCTGGGGACCCGCCGAGGAGGGCGCATCTGAGGTCTAGCTGCGCGCTGACGGGGCCTGGACGCGAGTGGCTTGAAGTCGTTCTTTCTCGCCCCGAACCCCGGGGCGCGGGCCAGGGGCAGAGATGCTGAGCCCGCGCCCGGGCGACCGTCGCTGCGGCCGCAGCCCCGGCTTTAGCACCGGCGGGACAGCGACAGCGGGGGCGGCGCAGGCGCACTGTGCCCGGCGGAGCCTGCAGTTCCCGAGCCCCGTGTGCGGCACTGCCACAGTCTGGGCAGCGGCGGCCGGGGGAGCGCTACTACCATGAACTGCCTGGCGCTCCTCCCCAGAGCTGCTCATCCGGGTCGGGCTGGTGACACAGTCAGGGGACCCCGCCGCCGCCGCCGCGCCCCCTCTTCCTTGGACTCGATCTTCTCCACCTTTTCCTCCTCTTCCTGCACCTTTTCTTCCTGCGTCCCCCCTCCCCCGCCGCGGATCCTGGCCGCTGCTCTTCAGACCCAGGATGCCGGGGGGCAAGAGAGGGCTGGTGGCACCGCAGAACACATTTTTGGAGAACATCGTCAGGCGCTCCAGTGGTAAGGAGAGTTGCGGTTCAGTACACCCCCCACCTGCACCCCGCCCACGCGCGCCCCCACCCGCCCCATCCTGTCCCTGTCCCTAGGGGGAGGGGGTGCAAGGCTTTTTACCTGGTGGCTTAAACTCCAAGCTGGACTTGATTGGGGTGGGGGATTGAGTGGGAGAGGATGGAAGGGAGCTGGTGGAAGAAAGTTGGGTGCATCTCTTGATCCCAAGAGACACGTTCCCTCCCACCTGTCCAGAGCCCCACACAGCTGCCGGGAGAGGGGTTGGGTAGAGGATAGGGGTATCCAGGGAGTAGACTGGGATTTCACTTTGATGAAGAGTATCTTTCCTGTTCATCCTTTGTCCACATTTTTCCTTAAGTAGGCTGCGAGGACTGACCAGATTCTTAAATTAATCTCACAGGAAGGGTTCAGATTGAGGATGGCTGCGAAAGTGGTTACTTAATCAAATTTAAATCTTTGGAAGGGGTATTTATTTATTTAATTATCCCCCCCCCCATGTGGGCGCAGTTGAAAGGAGAGTATTTGGAGTCCAACCTGAAAAACGAGGCTCAGTATTTGAGAAATGGGAAAGCAATTTTTGGGGTCAAAATTGTGTTTAAAGTTTTTGGTTACTTTTTCTCATTGTACGCTGGTTGTATGATATTTCATTTGGCTTACACAGGAGAAACGTAGATGTGAGGCAGGTAGCTACTATACTTTTAATATAACTGTAGAAAGAATCAGAAAATGGCATTTTACTTTGCTACTGGTGTTAAGGTTGTTTTGCAATACAGTGTCTTTAAAATACCGTTCATTTATGCATGCGTTTTCCAACAATGTATTCTGGATGGAAATGGTCATGTATTTCACATTTGAAATTGTGCAAATTTTGCATTTTGTTGAATCAATATCTTCTATTTGTACTTAATTCTTTTGTACATATTTCAGCTTCATAAGCAAGATATGTTGAGTATCTTTTAAAGTGTTTTCTTTAGAGGTCTGTTATTTTATTGGGAAGTTCTTAGTTTGGAGAACTATGAAAGACAGTTCTGCAGAGGGAATAACAGCAAACACTGGAACTAAATGGAAACTATGCAGTTCCATAATTTCTTTTTGATTCATTGAAACAACATTTACTTGGGTGTCTTATACAGCACATAATCTGTGGGTCCTTTGAATAAGAAAGTGATTAAGACACTTACACTGTTTTCAAGAAACTCCTGCCTGGTAGGCAAGACAGAAGCACACTCGCATGATAATGAACAGCCGAACGCTGTACAACGATGCTTTCTCTGAGCTGTTAGGTTAGATTATACTGAGTCTTGGATTAAACGAAGTTTGCAAATATTTCCCCTTAGTTTGGGACTACATGTATTTGAGGGTCCTGAAGTGCTTTTCCTAAAACTCTGACTTGAAATAGGATTGTAGTTTGGGGTTTGTGACATTATTTTTTTCTCTTTGGTCAATGCCTGATGTTAGTATTGTTATATTTAGATTGAAAAAAATAGCTAATGAGTCTGGCCTGTCATTTATTTTAATATCTGTAATATTAGTCATCGTAGCATGACTTTATGGTTTTCAGTTTTGATATTAGATCTAAATTCATAATGGTAGCTATTTCCATACCTTCTTGTGTTGATACCATGCATAGATCTAGAATGCAAGGGAATATTTCTGTCAGTCAGTCGTGGGAAAATTTAAAGGTTATCAGAACCAGCTATTTGAGATAAATGAGTCTTACTTCAGATTTTTCACCCTCTTGGGTTTTCAGCACCAAGTATTTGGGCCTGTGAGAGGACTTTCCACAAAAAGCCTTCAAAATAAAACCCACAGTCTGTTGCTCTGTTTGGTAAGGAGGAAGATAATAATCCCCCGATGGAAGTTTATAATATAGCATCTTTGGTGGAGACTTCTTACACAGACTGGAATGATGATCTCACTTTTAGAATATGTTTTATTTCAGATGTAGTTTGAAATTAAGCTTTTCCTCATGTGGCCCGGAAATACCTGCATCTGTTTCTCCTGTTGTACATCTACCCCCAACTTGGTGAATATTTTATCTTGTGTACACTTTGCATTCATAATTGTTCGTCGGTTTCAGCTTTTGTTTCCATGGATAACTCCAAGTGTGACTGAATAATTGATCTGTTTTGGCATTTGAAAATTGCACCTGTAATTGTCTCTGGTGAACTTTGAATAGCATTACTTAAAACTCCCCAGGTTTGTTTGAAAGACCCGAGATATTTGAAGATACATATACTTCTATATATGATAAGTACTGAATAGTCTCCTTTCACAGGAAGTACCTCAGGAATTGAGAATTATGGTATGAAATTGATCTCCACATTCATGAGGGAATATCCCTCAGTTGTCATTTCTCTATGATTTCATTTCTATATGATTTGGCAGGAAAATTGGAAAATTCACCCTGCAAGATTGTTTAATTGAGAGTAATAGAGCAAATTCCCTTCAGGATTCTCGTAGATAGATCAGGTTTGTCACACTGAAGATTCCATTAATCACAAACTTAACAACATTGGAAGGGAAATGTGCATAGAGCTTTAGTGAGAAAAGAAAGTAAAAGAGCCAGTCTTTTAAGACTGGAGAAACAGAATGGCATTGTATTTTGACCTGTATTTTGACCTGCAGAGCTTTTCTTTCTGATACACCATTATTTGGGTACTTATCAGAAGATCAGATCTTATCAGACAAACATAGTCTAGATGGAGATGCAAGTATATTGCATGAAGATACACAGATGCCAGATGGCCATCAGACCAGACAAGGGAGGCAAAGTCACTGTCCTTCACTGTCACATGCATAAGACTACAAGGGAGACATAGAAAACAGAAATGTGAGTGTGTGTGCGCTCTCTCTGCCTCTCTCTCACACACACACACATGCACACACACACACAGATGGGAGAAAAGGAAAAGGGTCACAAAGACAACATCAGACATTTATTTTTGTCCACTGGGAAGCTAATGAACTGAAATCTCAGCCAATAAATCCCATCAGAGAACTTTTTGATGATACAGAACAAAGGAGAGCCAAGTGTGGCAGAATTCGGTTATAGCTTTTAAATCCAGAGATTTCTTAATAAAGTTCCCAAGTCCTCAGCTGCTGTTGCAGAATTACAGGGCTGAATTCCGTGTCCTGGAGTAGCAACTATCACCCATTTGCTGCGATTTTACACCTCTCAAGATTGGATTTTTATTTTCCTTATTTAGTTGACTCACTTCAAATTGTTACCAGTATTCAAAGTCTATAAAATAAAACAGTGAGGGCATTGAGAGAGATGGTTAGACACACAAACTTTGCATTCAAATCTCAAAATAGGAGAATTAAGGAAATTCCTCTCTTTAGTTTTAAGATTAAGGACAAGTTAAAATCATTTTTTAAGCAAATAAACAATTAAAATAATTCTAACTAAAGAGAACATTATTAATAGTTGTAAAGGCCAAAAGCTTAAAAGTAATAGGAATTTACAGACATATTTAAAAATATTTTTATTTTTGATTGACACCTACTAATTGTACATACTTATGGGTTACAGTGTTACATTTAATACCAGAATACAACATGTAATGATTATATCAGGCTAATGTATTACTTAGATACTTATCATTTCCTTGATTTGAATACCTTCAGACTTGTCCCTATTTTGAAATATTGAATTGTTGTTAACTGTAGTTAAGGTTTGGCTAGGAGTATCAAAATACTTTGCTATGAAGAGGGGTGGGGTGACATCACCTACAAATCCCCTGGATCTGTGTCTGGAACATTATTGAGACATTGTCCCTTATTTGAATTTTAATTATTTATGCAGAGTGTTCATCAAGGTAAATTAAATGTAGGAAGCAGTAAACTTGTGTATAGAGGTTAAATGCCTGAAAGAAAGCAACTTCTTTTCAGTTTCTTAGGATGCCTAGTTGGAATTTTAGACTCCAACTAGGCATCCTAAGGTGAAAAAAATGTTTCTGAGTCCTCAGTTTGGTCATGTTTTTGGGCAGCACATTTTATTCGTACATTGTCTTTGATTCTGTAATGGGTAAACACAAGTGATTGGTTTGGTTGAAAGTAATCGAGGTTACTAGTTGGAAAAGTTATAATTACAAATTAACATCTTTTTATTAGAAATTTATTAATATTTTAAGACTATGAAAAATTAGACCCATTTTTCTAGTTTTATGAAAAAGAAAGTGTTTTTCTCTTTGGAGGAGAAAAGGGCCCAAGGAAGTAAACAGAAGGCAGTGTTTTATGAGTTACTTGTTGTTCAAGGGAGCTGCTCAGTGTCCCCCAATGTACCTGGGCTGCACAGCTGACATTCAAGCACTGCTTACTTACACAAAGTCCAAGCTTGTCATTGTGCTGTAATTGGCATTTGTAAGAACTGAGGTCTTAAAGATTCTCAGATGAGAAGCAGCACAGAACTAGTGATTTAAAAACAAAACCAAAAAGGGAATAACCACTTTTAAGTCTTATCCAGTTTCAAACAAATGGTGGAAAGTAAATGGATTTCTTTTCATTACAAAGTTCTTGATTTTTTCCCCTGCTCTGGAAAGATTTTCTGTAACATTCAAGACACTATTCAGGAAACACTGATAAAAGCACATTATGTTTGTGAAACATTGGTTTACCTACGTCGTATAATGTTCCACTTGAATATTTAAAATATCAGAGAGGTTGAAATGATGCTGACCACTTCCTAAATCATATTGATAAATAAACCAGAGGATTTGTCTTTTGCTTTGGAGCCTACACTGCATTATATAACTGCATTATATTGCTGACCTGGGGCTGCCTCTCTCACTCAAGGCACTGCTGTCGCAACTAGAAATCAGCTTTTCGTTTGTCTTTTGTTTGATTCCAGAAGTAGGATGTGTAAGAAATCCATTTTATTAGACATCTTTTAACTGACCTACTTAAAAAAACAAAACAAAACAAAACAAAAGAACAACCATATTAGCCACTATTTTTTTAACATAAGGGAATAATTATGACAATTTTAA